TTTACGATGATCTCTTGGCAGAACACGATTGTTCCTTTTTTTGCAACCCCATGCCAACCTCAGTGGTTGGCGCACTCTGATGAACAAATGATTGAAGAAATGATTTTGATGACAAGACAGGGAGTATGGAGTGTGTGGTAGTTACATAATCTGGTGTCAATTTGAGGATGAAGAGTGTAGGGGTGGAGTCTAGGCTGTCAATCAGGATATAGCCAATGAGGCCTCTGTGTGGGCATGACCTTCCTCTAAGGATTCTGGGAATTCCTGGATCTCCTCCTTAGAGGCAGGAGACACGTCTCTCTCTCTACTCAATCCCTTGGAGACGCTCTACTGACAAGACACAAGGCACTATGCTGATAGGTCCTGTACCCTGGGAACTGGAGAAGCTATGGAGAGACCCCAGACAGTGCTGAGATGCTTACAATGCCACTGGACCCACAAGACTTCACACCCACTGGTCTGTGATCTTCCTACATTTGGCGGTATTGCATGTGTTTCGTGAGTCTGAAGAGGGCTTTGGGGCTAATATCAGACATAGGGGCCTGAACTGGATTGGGTTGGGATACTTTCTTAATGTACAATTACCCTTACATAAAACTCTCTCTTACATACATGAGTCTCTATGGATTTGTTTCTCTAGTCTACTCAGACTAATACAGCATGTCACTCTAATTGTCAGCATGAAAAAAATAAAAGATTTGGAAGAAGGGACATTTAATCCCAAGTCAAGGAGGGAGGCCGGCGTGGTACAACTTTAGCTCACTGCAAGCATGTCTCGAAACCACAGCACACGCAATGGCTGAGGCACACAGAGGCCCTTTCCCCTCATGAGAGGACACGTCTCCAGGTGGCAAAGTGGGGATCTCCTCCCCATGCCTGCTTAGAACAAGCAGTTTCACAAATGGCAAAGACTCCCTCATATGGAACTGCCTGGCCCCCAACTCTCCACCAACACCCTCCGCCTCCTTTGGGCCTGAGGCTACCTGGAGGGAAGAAGTGAACTATCATTTTTTTATATCATTTTATTGGGGGCTCATAGGACTCTTCTCACAATCCAGACATCCGCCCATTGTGTCAAGTACATTTGTTGCTTTCATCATTCTCAAAACATTTTCTTTCTGCTTGAGAACTAGCATTTATTACTGAGCATCTCCTTGGAGAACCGGTAGAGACGGCACCGAGCAAACTTGGGAGCATTTGTTCCTCCGCTGCACCCCTAGGAAGGCGATAATATTGCCTCCACCGGGGGCGGAGAGACAGCAATGTGTCCCCTGTCACAGGGCCCTTGGGCAGACCAAGCCCGTGGCGCTCTCCGCGTGCATCCTGGGCATCGTGATGGGGCGCTTTGGTCCGGCACAAGCCTTCCTTTCCAATGGCGCTGTTTGAAGGCAGCCCAGGCTTTACCTGCTGCGGGCGGGGCGCGTGCTTGCCACTGGGACAGGCGCACACGTGCGGAACGTGAACTGCTTTCTCTGACTCTTTCCTGACTTTCACAGAACCCGGAGCACTTAAAGGCAGATGCTTGTCAGTCCCTCCAGGAAGAGGCATGCCAGGCCCAAGAAAAGGTCCCTTTGTCCGGAACTGCAACGGGTCCATCGCTGGGGACAAAGGGTCCAGTTTCCATCGGAATCCGAGTCACGATGAAGGGCCTTTTCATTCAAAGGCTGGCCGAGAACCGGCTCCAGAGCAGAGCTTGCTGTGAAGCGCCACACACCCGCCCTCCTCCCCTGGCTTCTGCTCCGGCCTGAGCTCTGACCCGACCCTCCAGGGGAGGCTGGAGGCAGGGTGCCATGGAGCCCTGGGTCACTCGGGGCCGACCTGCTCTCGGGGTCCCTGCTTCCCCTTCCCCATCCACCTCAGCGCGCCCTCCGAAAGGCTGCTTTCATCGGCCCTCCAGCTTTCGCGGTTGCTGCTGTCCTGAGGGGCCGGCCAGTTGATTTTGACCCAGAGCGACTCCATGTGACACAGCGCTGCCCCGGGGGCATTCCGAGGGAAACACTTAAATGAGGCACCCACAGGGCTCCTGTTTCACACCTGGAGATTGGAAAAGTCCCCGATCACATCTTAAATCTGATTCTTATCCGAACCAGCCAACTGGGTTTTTGAGAAATGTAGCTACTGTGTTGTTGATTTTCCCTTTTCCTCATGAACATTAGACATTCATCTGGGCTCGGTGTTTATCCACAGGGCACAAATGTCGTCACCAAGAGCCAGGGAACCCGGTCAGCAGCAGAGGGAAGGCAAGGGCTCCCCAACGTATTTGGCCCACCGCCTCATTTTAGGAAAACAACAGCAACCCCAAATTTAGTGGCCTCTGGCAATATAAAATATAAAATTGTTTTATACTGTAGCCCATTATTCAAACTAGAGGGTAGATGTATTCTTTTGCAGCCCAGATTGGAAAACACTGGATTAGAAAGCCCTGACAGGACTCTGGGCCTAGGCATTGGGGGTCACAATACAGGGGCTGTCCCCAGCAGCTGTTTGACTTTAGGTAGTTTTAATTTACCTCCTTGGGGTTCAGTTTCATTGTCTGTAAAATGGGGGACAGAATTTCTACATTTTGATCATCTGTGAGAATGAAAAGCAGATAAGGTGACCCACACCAACACACAGCAGGAGCTTGGTTAACGAAACACTAATCTCTACCTGGTTATGGTGCTGGCGAAAGACCGTGGAAAGTACCACGGACCTCCATAAAAGACCAAACCCTTCTGTTTGGGAACAAGTCCTACCAGAATGCTCGTTAGAAGCAAGGATGAATAGATTTCATCTCAGGACTGTGGTCATGTTATCAGGAGTGACTAATCCCTGGAAAAGGAGCTCATGCTTAGTAAAGTGGAGGGGCAGTGAAAACGAGGAAGACTTCAAATAAGATGGGCTGTCGAGGTGCGGGGGTGGGCTAGAATGTAACCACACATCACAACTTCTGTGAGGAGGGCACAGGAGCAGGGGGACAAAGATTGTACAAAGGGCTGCTGTGAGTTGGAACGGATTTGATGTTACTAACAACCAAAACAATGACCAAATGTGCTGAGAGATGGATCCTTAGACTGTGTACTTTTCCTATATTTCAGGTTGCCTTGTGCTTCAGTCTACCGCCCTCTAAGATGGAGATAAATTAACTTACTTTTATTTCAACATACGGTGGTGACGTATGTCCTTATGTTTGGTCGTGCACTCAGCTACAAGAAGTAGCCCAGCGTATGGCCTGAGTGGAGAAGACGAGGGGAAAACTCAAAAAAAGGAGAGACCCACCCAGTTGAGGGCCCACTCGGCTGTCCGAGGTAAAGCGCCCGGAGAACAGGAGACAAGAAGCAGGCATGATGCCTGGGAGCCCCAGTAAGGTGGTTGAGTTGGGGCTCGGGCTAGAGTTGGGGCTAACAACGAGGTCCATACCACCCATGCTCTCCCTTTACTGCCTTAGTGCCTGGCTACTCTGTGATGAGGTGTGAGAAGCAACGCGAGTCCTCAGGAGACACGGGGACAAAAAGGAACAAGAGAGGTGTGGTCGTTGGATAATTTTATGTCAACTAGGCACTTTGGCTAGAGGTCGAGTCAAACTTGTCAATCGAGTGGTATTTCGATGACACCTCCTTGGGGGGCTGGCCTTTTCTATGAGTGTGAGGGACTCCGGGAACTGCCTCTCTCTCGGCCACTTTGCCTTCCTCCTCACTGGGAATGTGTGACTGCTGCCTCCGGGGGTGGCCCCCCGTGGGCCATCTCGCCCTGAAAGCTGTCTGAACCCTGTCACACTTCCACTGGCCTTGGATCCATGAGACTGAACCAGCTGCCTGCTATCTCCCAGCTTCCTGCTGTAACGTGCTGTGGGATCGGCCTGCAGTACCAGGAGTCTTAAGAGGGCCCGCTGGCATTGATTGGACCTATGGCTGGAGTTGCATTGAACTGGGGTGCCTTCTTGATGTAAAGTTCCTTCTAAATGTAAATTTATGTCTTACGCACGGATGCTTGCCACTGGATTTGTTTCTCGAGACAACTTGGCCTAACACGAGAGATGAGAGCACTTGATTTAAGGGACAGCAGTCTAGAACAACAGCTAGGACACTAGTAAGGCTCCTACCACTGGGGCCTCTTCCTTGGGGCCCGGGAGGCTCTACAGCAGCAGTTCTCAACCTGTGGGTGGCGACCCCTTTGGGGGTTGGATGACCCTTTCACAGGGGTCACCTGATTCATAACAGTAGCAAAATTACAGTTATGAAGTAGCACAAAAATAATGCTATGGTTGGGGGGGTGGTCACCACAGCATGAGGAACTATATGAAAGGGTCGCAGCATTAGGAGGGTTGAAAACCACTGCTTTACAGAAAATCCTGTGTCCTATTGTCTGCCCATATCCGACAGGGCTAAGCTGCTTACCCTGGATTCTCTCCAAGTGAACCAGGACCGCTGATTCTGATGAACTGGAATCACAGGGTCCCGGGGTTCAGGGACTCAAATCCCCCATCTGCAGCCAGATACACAGTTGCCAAAGCAGGTGTGCTTAGACTCTTTTCTTCAAAATGGTTCCAATATCACTTACTTCCAATCACTTGTCCTGGACCTTCATGGGTCCAAGATTGAAGGACGTGCCCACCCTGTCTCCATCATGCCTGTGCCGGGCTCACTCAGAGCTCCTGTCACACTGTTTCAACCTATTTGCCTCTTTCATTAGACTGCGATCTCCTAGGGCTTTCATCACTGCATCTTCAATACTCAGCACAGTGGCTGGGCCAGAAGAGGTACTCATACATGCTGAATGAGTATTCCTATTGGGCTTGAGTCCTTTCCATCCTCCACATGCCACTTCTCACTAGCATGCAATAGGTGGATATCAACAGAAGCCACTTTTCCTATCACTACAGTGAAGCACAGCTTTGTAATATATAAATCCACAATAGTTTGACACACCCCCTGATGAGATCCCCAAACCTGCCCAGAGCTTAGGCACGCTCATTTGCTGCCAAACTCATAATGGTCTTCTCTCTTCCTCCTCAGACTTACCGGTGATGTCTGCGTGCATTTGCACAAAAAGGGGATTCTTGCTGAGGCCCCCACACAGGAACAAAGTGCTGAGAGAGTGCCCGGCTGCCTCCATGGTCTCTATGATGTGGCGGGTTCCAAACTTAAAGGGGAAAACACAAGAAGGCATCCTAAGTATTTTTAGGAACATAGTACTACTTGGAATAGTAAATGACATTGAACATGGCTGAGCATTGAGCTCGTGTCAGACACTGCCTACCAGCTATACACACACCATCTCTGAACACTGAGACTTGGAGAGATTATGTTGCCTAGCACCACATCGTTCATGAAGCTGCTGGGTGAGAATTCCAATGTGGGCTTTTCTGACTGTCTTCCCAATTACCACACTCTTTTCTTCTACCAGTAGGAATACAGCCTGGACAGACAAAATTGACAGTGCTAACAGATTGACTATTAACACCATTCTTTCAAATATTGGATGAGCAGCTACGGGGGCCCAAGCCCTCCACTGGGTCCTGGGCATAGAATAATCAGCAACGGCTTTCTAGAATGAATAGATCCAGTGACTTGGGGCCTGTCTTCCTTACCTGAATTGGCACTAATGATGTTTGTTCCTCGGAAAAAGCTACAACAAATCCAGCAACAGACCTGGCAAAGGGGCTTCAATATGTGAAGAAGATGAGACACAAGGTTTGGGGCTACACAAAGCTAGATGTCCCTTTGCTATCCCTAGGTACTAGCTCGTGCTTCTCTAATGGTGAGGCTTCCAGAGCCAGAATCCATTCTTAGTCCTTGATGATGATGGAAAATCATTATCTTGGTCCTGAGATGGGGGAAAATCAGATGGTCTGGTTGACTCAAGACTTCCCTCTATTTTAATTCCCACCCTGTGTCTTATTCTCTTCTAAAGCACAGTAGCTTCATGCTTGTCCTGCTAAGTATACTAAACTCAATTAAAAAAAAAACTTCGGTGCTTGAGACTAGGGCATTGCCTTACATTATCAAGGGGAATTTTTGAGCACAGTTCTTAAGATTATCTTCAAAATGTGAGTAGACAAAAATCATAATTTGTTTGGATGTTCAATAACTGGAAGTTCCAAAACCATAATGAATGGTTGCAAACAAAAAGATGAGCTGGCACATGGCCACAAGAGGCGGATACATGGTAACGTTTGATAAAGTGGTTCCACTGAGCAATGGAGTGGGGCTGTGTCCATTTCCGTAGGAATGTGGATGGTTGGAGGGTAGATAACCCTTGAAGCATTTAGAGGTTAGGAAGTTCTGAGAAGCATGTGTGACAAAGCCTGAGCTCTGGACATGTGAGTGAGCGGCTAGCAGGGAAGCAGAGAAAGAATCGCTGGATACAAGGAGGCCAAGGACTTCAGAAGCCAATGTGTCTCCACAGCTGGTGCCGTCCTCAGGAAGGCAGTGCCTGGAAGAAACGGAGGATGTGAGCGGCAGGGCAGTTCTTAGTGAGAGTGTTACAATGCTGTTGGGAAGATGGTACCCAAGTCCACAGAGAAGGCAGTAGATTAGCGTGAGCGCAAGAAGCAGCAGAGGTTTTAGCATGGTAAAGGAAGAGCTTTGGGGAAGAGTCTGGATATTTCTGACCAACTCTAAAGAAGCGGGTTTTAAGGTCCCAAAAGTCAATGGGAGAGCTGGCTGCCTGGCCCTCAGGGTAACCTGTGGACCAGAGGCTCTGAAATCCTCATTGCGGTGGAGTCAATGATGCAGCACCCATTCAAGAGTGAAAGGCCAGAGGCCAGCTATACACCAGAGGTCTTGAAGGGTCACTGAGGCAGTGTGTGAATCTGGTAAGAATGTGAATTAGGTGAAATTTGGGCCTCCAAAGAGAATCCACAGATGTGATGTGTTTTAAAAAGTAAAACAAGTTGTATTGTGTAAGGCCAGTTCCTGCTTATGGAATATGACTGATTAGCCCCAGATGTTCGTTCTTGCTTCAGCATTTTGGAGGTCATGAACCCCCTTGAGAATAGGATGAAATCCACTGACCTTCCTAAGAAAAATTCATATTCATAAATATACTTGTATTATAAATAATTTCAGGATTTCAGGTCTACAATGCCTTTAAGTCCACCACAGAGTGCTTGGTCCTTTCGTTTCTAGGACTTTAGTCCAATCTGAAGCGCGAGTCTGTAATAGCTAGGAATATGTGTTGTGAACTGAAAAGTAAATAAATAAAAGCTAGGATAGCCTTCAGGTATTTTACATATTTCTTATATCCACCTCAAGCCTAGTTTTTCTACATTCAATTCTCAAGTTTTTAAAACGGGACTCATAATACCATATTGCGTCCTTGAAAGTGACATGGATTATCAGAAATGTTTACATTTTAAAAAAAGACAAAAATGTGGTCTTAGGAGCCAACCTAGTACCACGTTCCCTATGAGTCCATGTAGGTTGTAATCACCGGCCCCTTCATTGGAGATAGACTGTAGAGCAGTGGTTCTCAACCTTCCTAATGCTGCGACCCTTTCATAGAGTTCATGTTGTGGTGACCCCCAATCATAAACTTATTTTCATTGCTACTTCATAACTGTCATTTTGTACTGTTATGAATCGGCGACCCCTGTGAAAGGGTCATCCGACCCCCAGGTTGAGAACCACTGGTGGAGAGGCTCTGACTGGCCAGGTATCGGTCTGTGGTTCAAGAATTCTGAATCCTTTGATTATTCTGAGGAAACACTTCCCCATTTCTTCCTTGCATGGCTCAACCTCTCTACTCTACTGGTGCAGTAACAACGCGGGACTCCCCACCCCAGGTCCTTGGTAATATCTACATCATGAACGCAGGGCGGTCGCTTTGTGCTTCCTGTTCCCCAGAGAGCAGAGCCCTGAGAGGGACAGGGCTGCCATAACGTCTCTGCTCTCTGAGTGGCATCAGACCGGCATTATTTTAGGTTCATGAGCGAATTTTGTAGAAAATCACACTGTCGTTGGTCAATAGAAAACACTACTGTAGGTGCATCATTCCATCAGCTGAGTGACCAATCTGCAGTCACTGAGGTCGGATGCCTTGTGGGTGGTAGGTGCTGTCCAGTTGCTTCTGGCTCTTGGTGACCCTACGCACAACAAACAAAACAGAACACGGCGTGGTTCTGCGCCATCCTCACAACTGTTCGTACTTTGAGTCCATTTTCTCAGCCAGTGTGTCAATCCATCTTGTCAATCACTTCCTTATTTTTTCTCACCTTTAGCAAGCATGCTATCTTTTCCTGGGCCTGCTCTTTCCTGACAATATGTCCGAAGTCTAGGAGGTGAAGTCTGGCCATCCTGGCCTCTAAGGAGCATTCTGGCTGTACTTCTTCCAAGATGGGTTTGCTTGTTCTTTTGGCAGCCCTTGATACTTCCCATGTTCTTCACCAGCACCATCATGCAAATGCAACCATCCCTCTCCAGACTTCCTTATTTAATGTCCAACTTTCACACAGATAGCTTATTGAATATACTCTTTTATAAAGTAAAACAACAATAGTGATATAGGGTTGGTGAGTTCAATGGTGCATGCAAAATTTTTACCCAGTGCTCAGCTTACAGATCAAAGCTACTCTGAGTACTAACTATATGCTGGGCACTGTACAGAAACCTTGAGTGGGGAAAGCACACTTGCTTCTAGCTAAAGGTCTAGAGGTTGAAACCATCTGGAAGCACTTTAGGAGAAAGTTATGAAGCTCTGTGTCTGAAATAGTAGTTATCAAAAACCCTATGGAGCACAGTTCTATTCTGATACACATGGGACCACCATGAATTGACACCAACTCAAATGACAACTGGTAGCTGGAAGCACCCTCCTGCACATTTAAATGCCCTCTCCAGTTTCATGTAATGGGTTATAAGTTTGGCTGTTAAATGCAAGCAAAGTCAGGGATTCGAACCCAGAAGCTGCTCCTCTGGGTAAATGAGACTTGCTGCTCCTGAAATGACTGGAGCAGCCCAAGGGACTCGTTGTACTCTGCCCTTCAGGGTCACTCGGAGTTGAATCCACTTGAAGGCAGTGCGTATTCTTACGGCAAACTTGAAGATGGTGGATGTATTGTTACCTCCAATCTAGAGAGTTGGGAATTGAGATTCAAGAGGAGCTACATAATTTGTTTTAGGCAATATGGTGTGTGTGTGTGTGTGTGTGTGTGTGTGTGTGTTGAGGGGTGCTATTAGCTGCCTGTCAATTTGTATGGCGATGCAATATAAAACAGATACACTGGTTTTCCTAAGACAAGGGCCTGGGCCCCTGTGATGAGCAGACAGAGCACCCTCCCTGGGAAAAGGGGAGAAGGGATCTGAATACGAGGCGCTTCCCTGAGAGGGGCTCTGACAGCCAGCTCTGGTCCTGCTGCATTGTCCACTGGAATTTCCCACTGGGGCTGGCAGTTAGTTACAGGGCACTCCCTTTCCTCAGCCCACACTCCAGTCTGAGGACAGCTGCTCCCTCCTGACAGGCCCCACCAAGGGCCTTGGTTCCCTGCTCACCTTTCTGGAAAAAATATTTCCACAGAGAATTTAAATTAAAATTAGCCTCTTGCACTGGGGATATACCAAACAAAATGCAAATGGAGAGACTTCAAATGCAAATGGTCCCCTCCAAGGGTCCTTTCTGAAAGAACACTGTGGATGAAGAGGTTGAGGAGAGAAATGGGTGTTTGACAGGCCTTTCCATTCAGCGGGATCCAGAGAGAATTTAATTCAAGTTGACTTCATTAGGCTCTCTCTTTCATGTCATCCCATTCCTACAAAATACCAAGCCCTGATATGACCATGGTGGGGCGGAGGTGGGATCTGTTTATGTTAAGAACAACACGTAGGTGTGAGGACACAGTTCTAAGCCAATGAAATGCATTCTCAAAGGGAACACCCTGGGGAAAATATTCTGCAAAGCTGACTGGGCTCCTCCCAAATAAATGGACTCTCCAAGGATGTCTTCTCTAAAGCTGCCTTCCCTTCGTGGTGTTTTAAAGGCCGTTACGACAACAGCGTGAGTAAGCTGCATTGCTTCTAGTACATGTACGGGCCATTAAATGCAAGATGGATTTTCCAAGTGTGTGGTAGTTGGGAATTGAAGCTGACTTCTCCCCTTCCTTCTGCAGGTAGTTTAACCTCAGTTAGGCATCCCTGGACTTCAAACGCAGTGCTCTTACCAGGAGGGGGGCATCGGCGAGACAATTTCAGGCCAAATTAATGTTTTCTAAGATGAAGCAAGTAAGAATTGTTCTCGAGAGCGTGTGACAGCTCATGTCCACGATGTAGTTTTAACACATGGCTCCAAGAAGGGACAGCATGGTGAAATGGATGGAGCAGTGGCCCGAGTGTGAGACCGAGCTTCAAATTCCCATTCTGACAACGCACGGGCAGGGCAGAAGGCAATGCTGGTTCCGTAGAAATCTTGACTCCGTGAGGGAGACCCAGCTTTGCTTCCTGGCCAATGCATCGCCAGGGTAGCTGCCCAAGGAACTGCCCGTCACTATTATAATGAACAAGTTCTAAAGGAGCTCTCAAACTATGACAGTCTAGGTGGAGAGGCCTGGAAATCTACCAACGAACACTTTATGCATCACAAAGGGCTGACCTACAAGTGCTCATGGGGATGGCACAGCACTGGGCAGCAGTCTATGTGCTCGGGCAAGGGGTTGGTATGAGGCAGGTGGCTGGCTTGAGCTCTGCTGACAACTACCACCACCACAATAACCACTCCCTGGCTGTTTGATCTTGGGCAAAAGACTCCTTTGGGCTGCTAACCCTAAGGTCAGCAGTTCAAAACCACCAACTGCTCTTCTGGGAAAAGAAGAGGCTTTCTACTTCTATGAAGAGTTACAGTCTTGGAAACCCACACGGCTAGTTCTGTCCTGTGCTATAGGGTCACTATGAGTTAGATTCAACCTGATGGCAATGTGTTTGGGCTTGGGGATCACTAAAAGAAGGATAATACCAGCTCCTCTGCTCTAAGCCACAGGCTACTCAGGCACTCTGTTTAATGCCTGGCATAGAGTCAATGCTCCGGCAAAGCTACCAATAATTACAATCATGTCCTGGGACTCCTCGACCCATTCTCTGTGGTCTCCCCCTGCGTGTCCACCTCCTAGCAGGTACTCTGAAGGGCAAACTTCACAGCTTTGATTTCCCAGGTGTATTCATTTCATTTCAGGTATTCTTTTCACTCTAAACTGTGTCATATAATAAGACCAAAAAAATCAAAAGTAGACAATACTTCAGTACTTTGCATATCTCATTTTTGTTTACAAAGCTGTGAGCTCAAATCTAAACTGCTTCTTACTAGTTGCATGACCCAAAGCAAGTTTAGAAAGTGGGCTGAGGTTTAGCCTTTCTAGTCGGTACACTGGGGATTAAACTGCCTGTTTCAAAGGTTAAATCAGATACCGTGTTAAAGTGTTCAAGGTAGTGCCTGGCATATAATAACATTCCCAAAGCCATATTCTTTAGTTCCAGTCTGATAACCATGGTTGCAAAACAGAATCATTAAAAAATTATCGTTATTACTGATGCTTCCTTTTGTTCTCCATTTTCTTCCCATTTCCAACTCTCTTAATTTCGATAGACATCCAAAGTGCCTATTTTGGACCAAGATTCCATGCATAAAGCAATGTGATTGATATCACTGAACTGGCCCGACCATGAAATCCATAAGACACCTGTTTTAGGAAGGTCGAGTCTGCCTGGTCTATAAGCGAAAAGGCCTGTTCAAGCAAATCAAGTGGGCCAGTTCCATCCTCCTTTGTGGTTGCATTAAAGATGCGCTGTTTCCTTATAGAAGGAGAGTTTTGCTATCATATTGCACAGGGCACTCTGGTCAAATCTGAGCATAGGAAAAGCACACTTGCTGGTGATAATGTGGATATAGATGCATGTACTTTTATGACTTGAAGTAATGGGCCTTATGAAGGGGATTATCTGGAGAAGTGGAATAATTAAGTAGCATACGTTCTCCTTATTGTTCTGTGCTGTTGAGTAAGGGTCAACATAGACACCCGATGTACAACAGAAGGAACCACTCCTGGTCCTGCTCCACCCTCACAATTGCCCTTGGGTTTGAGTCCATTGTTGCAGCTACTGTGTCAATCCATTTCATTGAAAGCCTCCCTCTTTTTGGCTTCGCCTCCACTTTACCATGCATGCCATTCTTCTTCAGGGACTGGTCTGTCCTGACAACATGTCCAAAGGATGGAAAACAAGGTCTCAGCAGCCTTGCCTCTAAGGAGCATTGTGACTGCACTGCTTCCAAGCCAGATTTGTCTGTTCTTTTGGCAGTTGATGGTCCTTTCAATATTCTTCACCAACACCATAGTCCAAATGTAGCGATTTCTCTTTGGTCGTCCTTATTCAATTTCCAGCTTTTCATATGTATAACAGGCAAATGAAATTACATGGGTCAGGCCCACCCTAGTTCTCAAAATAATATCCTCGCTTTTCAACACTTTGAAGAGGTCTTGTGCAACAGATTTACCTAATGCAATGAAGTAGCATGTAACGCTAACAAACTGAAACACTAAACAGATATGTGTCTGAAAAATAAATTTCAAATCAAAAGTTGGTGAGCTGAATTTCTTTGTTTGGTTTTCAATCTCTGTCTACAGAAGTGACCAAGCCTGATTGAATTAATTATCATTTCGGGTTTTCAACCTGCTCTGAGACCTGGAAAGCCACAGCCTATAAAACATACTGAACATATGCACATGTGTTTTCAGGAGTCTGGAGTCCGTTGGTAGCCCGCCCATGGGTCATAGATCAATTAGATTCCCCTGACCATGATCTTTGCTCGTCTAGGATTCTGTCTTCATTTTTGATTAATTCCATTTTGATTGATTGGTTGAAGAGTTCCTAGCATTTTAGGTCTAAATTATTCCACTGACCTAGTCATTAAAACCTCTCACTTAAGCAGCCAATTATCTAAAAACACATACTTCAGTGTGCTAAGAAAGATTACTATTTAAAGGAAGCCCACAATGAGTCCTTTTGTAAAGTAAACACTATCCTGCATTTTAGAAACCTGGACATTCTTACCAGCAGCTTTTCTTAATGCAACATACTTGGTATCTGCTTGTTGTAATAGCATCTATCAGACAAATTAGATAAATGACAAGTATGACATTCAAAGATTTTAGTGCTTTGCAGCGTTCAGTGTTGTGAAGTTATTAGTAAAGCACGTGAGGGCTTTCATCAATATCTCCTTGCAGACACTCCACTGTCTCTTTCTGGCAAGCTTCTGTTTAATTAAGAATTTCTGCCACCAAAGTATATGATATATCGTGGGGAGCATGCGGCCTAGAGATTATGGATTGCCTTCGCTTTCTGTTAAAGTGGCATTAACATAACTTACAGCAATGGCTTGAATTGTGGCCAGGTAGAGAATGGCAAGATCATCAAGGTCCTGGGATAGTTTCAATCCAGTGACCTGCAGGGATGAAGAAAAGAAAAGAAGTAGATGGTCAATGGGAGCTGCCACAGAAAGAGATAGTTCCCAGGAAACACATTCAGATATGTTTCCTTGCTGAAACAAGTTCATATGCAAATCCCCTTTTAGTGAGCTGAACGTGAAATGCCTACTAAGTTGTTTAATCTCCAGACCTGGGAAAAACTACCCTATCCTCCTCCAAAGAAAATGCCTTGCCCTCGAATTAAACTAAAATGAACAATGAAGGAAGATCGCGTGGAATTGAATAGCTTCAGTCTTTACAAACAGTGGCCTCTTTTTATAAACACAGAGATCAATGTGCTAACAGTGGCAGTTCTAGGAAAAGATGATCCACACTGTGGGTTTTGCTACTGTCACAACTCGTGCAACGGCACCCAGAGGGCATCCAGGGTGAAGCCATCTATCGTCTATAAATGTGTTACCAACCTGGGGATCATTTAGAACCCATAGTTAAATCAATCAGAACCATGTGTTTATGTGGATCTATCAGTCTGAGAAATTCCAGAATGGAACAGAATTCTGGATTTGGATGCTGCCAAGAGATGTTTATCTTTCCACCTTCCTATATCCCAATTCTCAAGGTGTCCGCTCTCTCCGAGTACTCATCCAGAACTGCTGGTTTCTTCAAGCCTAGCCTAAAGCCAGTGGGCACCAATACCAGTACTTAATTGAAATAGTCACATTACAAAACGAATACATATAATATGTAATTACTAAGGAAAAATTTCATGTACACAGGGCATGTTATCAGGAGAATCCAGCCCCTAGTAAAGGACATAATGCTTGTTCAGTAGACGGGCAGCGAGACAGAGGAAGACCCTCGATGAGATGGATTGACACAGTGGCTGTAAGAGTCATTGTGAGGATGGCACAGGGCTTGGCTGTACATAGGGTCCCAATGAGTCTGAGTCAGAAGGGACTCAACACCAACCAACAATACCAACAACAAAGAAAAGACCGTTTGCCAGAGAAGAATATCACTTTTCAAAGGAAAGACAATTTGCAAGCAAAAACATCACAACAGCCTCAACAATAGGCCCCCAAATACCAATGATCCTAGAGACCTTGCAGGATCAATGATTCTGTCATGCATAAATGTCATCATGAGTCAGAGTCCACTCAATGGTGACTAACCACTACAAGAAGAACCCACATGGAGACCTCAGGTCCTATAAACAGTTGATGCACTCAGCTGCTAATGGAAAGGTGGAAGTTCAACTCCACCCACAGGCTCCGTAGAGAAAGTCCTGGAAATCTCTTCCTAGAAATGTTACTCACCAAAAACCCTGGGGACCACAGTGGTACTCTGACACAGATGTGGTTACCATGAGAGTCGCCTCAATGGCAACTAGTTGTTAGCGTGTGTTTGGTTCTCAATTTACTTAGTGGTGATGTGTATTTTATTTTTAATAATTTGAGCATTCTCTTGGGTCACCGTTCCTTTTTTTTTTTTAAATCATTTTATTAGGGGCTCATACAACTCTTATCACAATCCATACATACATCAATTGTGTAAAGCACATTTGTACATTCATTGCCCGATGATGTGTATTTTAAATGGAAATGGGAGAGCTGAGTAAACTAGATGGATCTCCCTAACCCGATTTAATCACTCTCTCCAGATTCCACCCCTAACCTGGATTTAGAGGCTTGTCCTGGTGTTTTGTAGAACACAAGCATCCTTCAATTGCTCAAATAGAAACCTGGGGCCCCTACACCTTTTTGCTCCCTTATCATTTGACTTGTCTCCAAGTTTTGTATTGCTCAGACATTTTAGTGCCCATTCTGGTCACCTTCAGTGTCATTCACTCCCGTAGTCCAAATTACCACCGTGTCCTTCTTGAGAGCCGAGAAAGCTTCCAAGCAATGCTCCCTGTCTCCAATTGTGCTCCTTATCAGCATCTGGCTAGAAATCATTCTCACAAGCCTATCTCATCACACCACTCCCCTGCTAAAAATTCTCCGGCTGCCCTCAGTTCATGGTAAAAATGCCTTATGTGTTCCATGGGCTCTGTCTTTTGCTCCAACAGGCTCCCTTCCCCACTGTCTACCTTTCCTCCTCGTTGGCTAACACACTAAGCTCGATTTTATGTTGTATTATCCACCCAAGTGGGGATTCCTGAATCGGTGGCACAACCTGCTGACAGTTTTCCTTGGCAAATAATTGTTCAACCAGATGAGATCTCTGTTGCTTTATTTTGACACATGGGAACAGAGCAGGTTTGAATAAGAGACTAGAGTGGAACTCGGGGGATATACCATTTATACTTGAGTATAAGCTGACCCAAATATTAGCCGAGGCACCTAATTTTACCACAAAAACTGCATTAAAATGTGCTGAAAAAACTCAGCTTATACACCAGTATATACGGTACCTTCTCAAGTCAAACCTCTGTGAATGAACGCCTCTGACAATGTTCCCTGGAGACTTGAACACCCTCAAGGAAAGGTGGAGCTAGGAGAAAACGTGAACATTGATATCACAGAATTTCATTTCACAGCTGAGGGACTAATTAGCCTCAGGGAACAGAAAGAATGAGAACCAGACCCCGGATGTTTTGATGGACTTTGCTTGTCTTTTTTACCATGGTATCCTCAACGCCTAGCACCGTGCGTGAGGCACCCACAACTCACCGCCATCTCGCTCATTCTAACTCATAGTGACTAGAAATAAGGGTTCCAACGCTGTAATTCTTTATGGAAACGGATAGCCTCATCTTTTCCCCCAGTATCAGCTGGTGGTTTTGAATTACCAACCTTGTGGTTTGCAGTCCAACACTGGCCTTTGGTAAATAAGAGGTGTTAAATCAGTAATATTGGTAATAGAAGCGATTCTTAATGTATAAATGAGTGACAATTCAATGTTCTTTTTCATCTTTTGCACATCACTCTCCCTTCCAAAGCTATCCTAAGAAGCACAGTCTAACCGCCTGTGTGGGTTTCTGAAGCTGGAGGTCTTTATGGAAGCAGAAACTCTCTCATTTTTTTGTGGGTTTGAACTGCTGACCTTGTGGTTAGCAGCCCAACTCACAACCCTCTCTACCATGGCGGCTCCTTCATAAGAAAGAAGGGGTGGGATAATATAGTCCGGCTCAGCTTCCTTCATCCCTAGCAGCTACCTATGACAACTTCAAAAAAGTATATTTTAAAACAAAAAAGGTATCATAGACCCTTCTTTAAACTTCTAGCACTTCTGGAGCTCAGAAATCATATAGAAGTACAGGAAAGATAATTTTTGCGCCAGATACTGAGAATGCGATTACCACTGTCATTAAGTACTAAATTTAACTTCTGAACTTGCTAGGAGATATGGGGGGTGGGGGAGGAGGAAGACTATTATGGAGGAAATAACTTTTCTTCTGCTGATAAATGAAATATCTGATCCTAAAGGGAAGAAATTCCAGCAGCCATTTATCACCTGGATTGCTCTGTGGGAAGGACAGCCTATTGAAGAGGAAGAAGTGAGAGCACTTATCCCATAGGCAGCCCCAACACTCCTTCAGCACGGATACAGAGATCACCCTGCAATGGGGCGGGAGGGACCATGTGTGTGGGTGTGTTCATAGACCCGTGTCTGTGCCTACTGCGAATGTTTAGGTGAGCTGGCAGAATGCATGGGAAGCCCCATGTGAGAGTTGCCACGGTCAACACAGTTTATTTATTTTGGCAATTGTGTAACAAGGGGAACTGGAAGAGTGAGAGAACGTTTAATCAATAGTGATGTGTGACAGCTTCATAGGGTGGGCCCTCCAAAACAAACAAACAAAAAGCCAACCAAACTGCCATCGAGTCCATGCTGAATCGCAGCAGTCGCGTGGGGGAGAGCTGCCCCTGTGAGCGTCTCAGATTTCCACTCTTTTTTCCTTTCTAAGCAGGTTTATTGGCATATAATTCACATATCACACAATTCAGCAGTTCAATCACATCAAGAAGAGTTATACAATCATCACCATAATCAATATTAGAATAGTTTCTCCATTCTTGAACTCATCGTTATTAACTCCCCATTTCCCCTGACCTCTCCTGCCACTCCCGCAAGAAACCATTCATCCAATTATTGTCTCCATAGATTTACCTCTTCTGGGTTTCATATGCAGAAAATGTTAAAAAAACAACAACCCTTAGGAACAATAATGGGAGTAGTGATACCATGAAGGTGGGGGAGAAAGGGAGAACTAATTACAGTGATCAATGTATAACCACCCCGCCCTCCCCTCCACCCCTGGTGACAGACGATGGAAACATGGGTGAAGGGAGACAGTGCATGGAGTAAGACATGACGATAATAATTTATAATTTATCAAGGTTCTTGAAGGGGGGAGGAGGGCGAAGGGAGGGGAAATTGAGGAGCTGTGACCAAGGGTTCAAGTAGAAAAAATATGAAAATGTTTTGAAAAGGATGATGGCAACATAGGTACAAAAGTGCTTGACACAATGGACGTATACTTTTTTTTTAATTCCAAAAACCTGACAACAACAACTGTTTATGAAGTAGAAAGGCCCATCTTTCTCCCTCAGACATGGGCTGGTGGGTTCAAGCTTCACGTGAGCAGCCCAGCTCGTAACCAATAGGCCAGAAGAGCTCCTCTGGCGACCAAGGAGACGGAAACAGTAGCAACCAGTCATTTCAACATCCCAGACAATGAACATAAAACACCGAGGTAAATATTGGGATTCTCAAGTTTAGAAGAGAAGCTTGGGTGAATGGAACAAAGGAAACTGCTTGATTCAAGCACCGGATGAAATCTTGATATTCCCTTTAACTGGAACTGGAAGCATGCCATTGTGTGCTTTTTATACCTTTTTGGATATTATTTACCAATCAATATCAATTTTTTAACTCATGAATGGGAATCATACTACCTTGAAGCATTGTTTTAAGCATTAAATGGGATACCATTTGAGAACTGCATTTCTTTTCCAGCAAGCTGAACTGAGTCTACACGAGCTAGCTAGTTCTCTACTTTTTGTAGTGATAA